GGAGGTGAAGGACCTATACAATGAACATTATAAGACATTATTGGAATAAATTGAAGAAGACATAAGGAAATGGAAAGATATTCTGTGCTCAATGATTGGAAAAATAAACATAGTTAAAATGTCCATATTATCTAAAGCAATCTACAGATTCAAGGCAATCCCAATCAGAATCCCACTGACATTCTTCATGGAAATAGAACAAAGAATCCTAAAATTTATATGGAACAACAAAAGACCCCGGATAGCCAAAGCAATCCTGAGAAAAAAGAACAAAGCCTGAGGCATCACAATACCTGATTTCAAAATATACTACAAAGCTACAGTAATCAAAACAGCATGGTACTGGCAGAAAAACAGACACAGAACAATGGAACAGAATTGAGAGCCCAGAAATAAACCACACATCTATAGACAGCTAATTTTCAACAAAGGAGCCAAGAACATACAATGGAGAAAAGAAAGGTTTTTAACAAATGGTGCTGGGAAAACTGGACAGCCACGTGCAAAAGAATGAAACTAGACCCTTACCTTACACCATACACAAAAATTAACTCAAAATGGATTAAAAACTTGAATGTAAGATCTGAAACCATAAAACTCCTAGGAGAAAACATAGGCAGTAAGCTCTGACATCACTCTTAGTATCTTTTGGAATACCATGTCTCACCAGGCAAGGAAAACAAAAGAAAAAATAAACAAATGGGACTACATCAAACTAAAAAACTCCTCCACAGCAAAGGAAACCATCAACAAAACGAAAAGACAAGCCACTAACTGGGAGAAGATATTTGCAAATCATATATCAGATAAGGGGTTAATTTCTAAAACATATAAAGAACTTATGCATCTCAACAAAAAAGAAAGAACCAACCAAATCAAAAAATGAGCAGAGGATATGAACAGACATTTTTCCAAAGAAGATACACAGATGGCCAACAGGCACATGAAAAGATGTTCAACATCACTAATGATTAGGGAAATGCAAATCAAAACTACAATGACATATCACCTCACGCCCGTCAGAATGGCTATAATTAACAAGACAGGAAACAACAAGTGTTGGAGAGGATGTGGAGAAACGGGAACCCTCATACACTGCTGGTGGGAAGGCAAACGGGTGCAGCACTATGGAAAACAGTATGGAGATTCCTCAAAAACTTAAAAATAGAAATACCACATGATCTAGCTATTCCATTTCTGGGTATTTATCCACAGAACATGAAAACACTAATTCAAAAAGATATATGCACCCCTATGTTCATTGCTGCATTACTCACAACAGCCAAGATTTGGAAGCAACCTAAGTGCCCCTCCACGGATGAAAGGATAAAGCAGATGTGGTGTGTATATACATATACACACACACACAAAATGGAATACTACTCAGCCAAAAAAAATACTGCTCGCCATGTTGCCATTTGTGACAACATGGATGGAACTTGAAGGTACTATGCTACGTGAAATAAGTCAGAGAAAGTTAAATACCATAGGATTTCACTCATATGTGGAAGATAAACAAACACACAGATAGGGAGTAACAGATTGGGGGTTAGCAGAGGGGAAGGGGGTCGGGGGAGGGCAAAAGGGGTAAAGGGGCACCTGTGTGTGGCGACAGATGGAAACTGACTTTCAGTGGTGCACACAATGCAGTCTATACAGAAGTCGAAATGTAATGATGTACACCTGAAATTTATATAATGTTATAAACCAGTGTGACCTCACTAAAATACATTTAAAAATAACTAATAAAAGATTGGTAACATTTATATTTTAAGTAACCACAAAGAAGTCTTCTTTGTCAAAATGTTAATCCTAAAACTAGAATACCAATAAACACCACGATAATGTAAATGTTTTTCACTGAAGAGTTAAGCTATACATTACTTTTGTGCTTCCTGGAGTCTCTGACTGACCTTTTCTCCATTGTACTATTTTCCTTTATCACAATACCTTCTCAACTCTTCACATTAGTCCTCTTCTTCCCTGCCCCCACCCTCCAGGGCCTTCCTGCTCTGATCCAGACAGATGGCTCTTGCAGCAAGCAGCACAGCTTGACAATTTTTCCGGATTGAATCTATTATTTCCAGTATCCCACATCTTTCTCTTTTTTGGTTTATTCTCTTGTTTTTCTGGAGCATATCCTCAAATAACGTTCTAAAAACAGGTGTATGGGAAATATATTTTCTAGGCCCCTGTCTGTCTAAGAATGGTTTTCTGTTACCCATATACTTGACTGGAAGTTCAGGTGAGTTAGAATTGTAGGTTGAAAATTCTTTCCACTTAGAATGCTCCGTTTTCTTTTAGCTTCCAGTGATGGTTTTTGAGAAGATCGCTCATTTCTATTTCCTGCTCCTTTGCAGACGGCTTTCTTTTAAAAGCTTTGGGATATTCCCCTTACCTGTGGTGATCTGACATGTCCCCACAACGCATCTGGATTCCTCTGCTCCAGGAAGTTCTCCCTCATGGCTCCCCTCTTATGTTGCTTTCTGAAGAACCCCTCCTTGACTCTTTCCGGAACTCCCACAGCAGGATGCTGGACCTCCTGTACTGCTCCCACATATCTTCTGGATTTTCTGTCACATTTTCTGTCCTTTTTCATCTTTTTTTCCGAGAGATTTCCTCACACTTTATCTTCTAACACCTCACTTAATTTATTTTCCACTCCAGAAATTATCTTTAATTGTCAAGAGATGGTTAGCCCCCAATTATTCCTTTCCCACAACACTACGTTTTAAATTTTAAATGCTGCACCTTCTCAAATATCTTTGAGGTTTTTTTTAATGTTCTCTTCTGATCGCTGCATAATCTCTTTTATCCAGAGTAAGTTTCCTCATTTCTTTAAGTTGGTCTTTTCTTTAAAGCTGTAGGTCCTTCTCAGGAGACTGAGGAAACTTTATTCACATTTATGAGTGTGGCTAAGATGCTGGAGGCTCCAGGTACGTGGGCCTGGTGGATCTGCTGACAGGCACAGCTGTACTGTGATTGGTGGAGAGTCAGATCAGGTGAGGGACACTCAACCCCACAAATCAAAGGCTTCCAGAAAGAGCCCTAACACCCTGCCTGGTGTCAGATGTCCCGCCAGGGGCCCAGTGTTCTGTGCACTGCTGCTCCGAGTTCTCAGTCTCCACACGCTGTGGGCCATCTCCCTGCTCTCGTCGGGGTGGTGGGCCCACCCCTGGCCCACACCTGCTGCATCGTGAGCCTGGGGTGGGACATCACAAAGCCTGGGAGCTTCTCCTTTTGGAAGCAAAGTAATTCTCGTTACAGATCGTCTAGGAAGAAATAAGCTCTAGCCTCTGACGGAGAGGTCAAATGTAAACACCACCAGAAAGGGTCTCCACTGTTCTGGAGGAAGGGTCACTCATGAGGCAGCGAGAAATGACGGCTGGGGGCTCTGTCCTGGCTTTGCTCCTGCGACCTCTGTGGTCGCGTCCCGACAGCCCCAGGGCTCCGTGAGGGAAGTCCCGCTCCCGCCCTTCACCCTCGCCTCCACGAACACGCAGCAGCCCTGCGGGAGGCCAGCAGGGCAGACTTCATCCAAATGCTCAGCCCCTAGGAGGGCACAGTCAACTGCGTGCTCACGGACTCGCCAGCGCCTACGCATTTCCAACGCCCCGCCCTCTGCCGGCTGGCCCTCCCTCCCCTCCTGCAGGGAAACCTCGTCCAGCCCCACATCATCCCGACAGACGTCCACGGCTTGGACATTTTCCCCGAAATCTATGCATCTGTTTCTACTCACCCCCGGGCCTCCAAAGGTGCTGCCCTGAGCTCCGGGTTCCCCCAGACCCGCCACAACCCCACCCTGACAGAGTCGTCCAGTCCACAGTCCTGGGAGTCCATCCAGACTCCTCCCCTGCAGGGCCACATTCTCATCCACGCTGCCACCTCGTGTGTCGGCCTGTGACTGTGGTCCCCGAGCAGGACTCCACGGCCAGGCACCACAGTACCCCGACCTCAAGTGAAACCCCTTCCCTTGGGTGGCACTCCCGTGGCGGCCTGGCTGGAGTGGTGCAGGTCTCCAGCAGGGCCCTCCCTCCGCACCCCAAAAGGACACTCGGATGCGAGGACCTGGTTGGGGTTCCATGGGGCAAGGCAGGAGACTCAGCACGAAGGGGCTTCTGTGCCAGTCGGGGTTCAGACCACCCAGAGGCACAGGACGCTCACTCTGGGGAGCAGCCACAGGGCTGGGATGTGGCCTGAGGCTGGGGACGCAGGGCGGCGAGGCCCTCCCTGGATCTGGCCTCGGACAAACAGAACGGCTGCTTGGCCACAACAACACCTCCACCGCCTGGGGTCAGTCATTTTGTCTCTCAGGAAACAGGCTCAGGAAATAAGCCGAAAAGAAGAACCTCAAGGAAAACAATCTTGACCGCAGAAATACTTGCAATAGCAACAAATTTAAAACAGCCTCGTGTTCAAAAAGGGGAAAGAGTGAGTCCTACAATCATCGATCACCAAAGGGAACCTGTACGCCACAGGAAACACGAAGACCACAGCAGCGCCTGTGGCTGCCCCGGGAGACGTGGGCACTGCTTTCCTTTCACTGAAACGACGTTTAGTTACCTCTGAATTGATTCAACGTGCCTATGCTGCCTGTTCACCATCACCCTAACAAAGCCGTCTGCTGGGAAGGGCAGAGGGTGGAGCTGCGAGCCCCCTTCCCCTTGTGTGCGGGTCACACTCATGGCTAGCGAGGCTCGTGTGGCCTCAGAACCCTTCTGAGTACAGCTCCCCAGGGCCACGGCTGATAGGGTTGTCCTGGCTGATGGGGAGCTGGCAGGTGGCGGTTGCACGGGCACAGGGCAGGGCTGATGGGAAACTTGCTGAGAGGAGCAGGGCCTGGGGAGGGTCTGGAGCTGGTTCTCTGTAACCTGGACGCGAGTTGCTCCTCAGTCCTGCACACGCGAGTGACGACGAACATGCTCACATACCCCTCCTGACCCTGGGGAGTGGCCCACAGCCTCAGGACACCAGAGTTCAGGCATTAGGGAGGTACTTACGGGCCAAATATCCGCAGGTACCTAATGCCCATCTGGAGAGCCTTCTGCGAGCACGCCATGGTGGTCTTGTGGTCGTGGGCCGCGAAGGCAAAGTGGGTCAGGCGCGTCAGGGTCTGCAGCTCCACCAGGGGGTCTGACCAGTTGCACTCGGACGCCATCTTCACCACCTCCCCGGCGGCGGGGGGAGAACGGCTGTCTGTTAGTGTGGTGAATCTCCGACGGCACGCAGCCCACAGTGGGGACAGTGCTGTCAGCTCGGTGGGCTATCTAGTTGTGTAAAACCCTAACTCCGGTGTATTGCTCACCAGCCGTAGACATTTAGTTAACGTTACTCCAAACAGACCCACGACTCGTAAAGGACCCTGCACAAGGCAGCCCCCATGAAGCCTGAGTCCCTGTGCTCACTACTCGTAAACCGAGGCCGAGTCTCTGGCCAGGGTGGGTAGGTTGGGGGACAAACGCCCCCAGGGTCCACACTGCCCACTGTCCCACACTCGGGGAAAGCACAGAGGGAGCTCCCACGTGACACTAAACTCAGCTGCCCTGGGGGACAGCGCCGGCTCTGTTGGGAGGCAGGTGAGCACTGTGGTGGGAACGCGGTCACCAGGACAGGCGGTTCCCACTCCAGACACCTTGGGTAAGGCCCTCTGACCACGGCTCCTCATCTCAACAGCGGAATTTGAACAACTGGCTTTGGGTTGGGGGGCTTTGTCTGTGCACAGCCCCTGGCATGCCTACCAGGACACCTGGTGACACCTACCTCGGCCAAGTGGGAGAATGGTGACAGTTGGGGGGGTAGGCAACACCTGGGGGGAGGTGACACCTGGGAGAAAGGGACATCCGGGGAGGAGGTGACACCTGGGGGAGATGGTGGCACCTGGGGGGAGGTGACACTTGGAGAGAAGGTGACATCTGGGGGGAAGGTGACACCTGGGGAGGAAGTGACCCCTGGGGGGGTACCTACCTGAGCCAAGGGGGGCACGTTGAAGTCCATGAGGCCCAGCCCGTTGCAGGAGTACATCTCCAGAGCGACAAGAACTCTGGTCACCGAGTTGATCTCCTCACTGTTACTCTGGTGGGAAGGAATCACAGAGTGTCCATCAGCCCAAGGGTGCTGGGGAGAATCTGGAACACTCGGACTTGAACCCTATGAAATACCAGCTTCGTGGCAATAATCGGCGCTATCTTGGCTATGTGTAAATGTGTATTGCCAAGTCCTCTCTTCACATAACAAAGAGGCAGTAGGCAGTGCAGTCCCTATGGTAGTCTGACAGCCGGGCTGATCCGGTGGAGGTGGAGGGCAGGCAGCATGGCACAGTAGGGGGGTGGACCTCTGCCTGCAGGGTCCCCTCCCCTTGGTCCCACTCCAATCGGACCCTCACTCCTGGCCCAGCTCAGATACCTGTCCCTGACTGCCCACCGCCTTGCTGGCCTCACTTTCCGCCTAGACCAGCGCATCCCAGCTCCTGCCGGTGCCCCGTGGGAGTCTCCCGTTGGTCTGTCTGTGACCATGCAGCCCATGTCAGTGAGGGTGGAGGCCGTGGGCTGGCCCTGCCCCTCTCCTCTCTGGGTCCCCACTTGCTCCCCCGCCCTCCACTCCCGCAGCCTTGTGTGCACTGAACCTAGGAGGTGCCCCCTCTGGGCCGGGTGCAGATAAGGTCACAGTGAGCTTCTCCGAGGGTGGACAGCACCCCCAGAGGCCTGGCGCTCTTGGTGGACATTCAGAACAGCAGCCAGTCAGCTGGCGGAAAAAGGGAACGCCACAGCCAGGGGCAGTGAGCTCAGTGGGGACAGCCTTCCCGGAGGGGATGCACTCCTTCCACAGGAGAAGGGAGCTCTCCCCACAGCGTGCTGTGGTCCAGGCTGCGAGACCCGAGGGGGCCTGCTCTGCTCTCCCTTCAGGTGGGAGACAGAGAGAAGACTTCAGCAAGAGGAGTCCACCCTGCAGGTCTGGGCACGTGGGGATGGGGGCACTTCCAGACGTGGGACACGGCCACAGGGCGCCCGCACCTGCTCATCCGGGCCCAGCCGCGGCCCAATCTGCTGCTGCAGCAGCTGCTTGCCCTTCACCCAGGTGGCGATGAGCTGCTGTCGGGCATTGGTGGGCACCACCTCTTGGGGCACCGTCCCGTTGGTCAGGCTCAGCGCAAACTCGCAGACCTAAAATGGATGTGTCCTTGTTCATAAAACCCCAATTCTAAACAGAGAAACCTGGGCCAAGACCGTAATCATTAAAAATAAGGGGACCTTGCTCTTGGTCCCGGCCGCAGCAGTGGTCTAAACATGCACCAGTCCTGGAGCCTGTAGAACAGGGCAGCCTGGGATGTGAGAGCCCCAGGGGTGCTGGTGGGGCTTGTCTCCTCCTATGTCCCTACTCCCTACGGCACACCCAGGCAGCTACACTGCCAGGAGCAGCAGGCCCCTCACTGAGTCGTCACCATGTGCCTGCGGCTCTGCTGGCCCTAAGGCATGGTGCACAGCCAACCTCTTGACAGGCACCAGGCCCCCTCCCTGTGGACGGTGTTTGTTCTGGGGGCTGCACGGTGAAGATCCGAAGCCCAAAAGCTGGGAACCCAGCTCCCTGCTCGCCTGCTGTGTGACGAGGGCACGTTCTTCATTCTGTGCCTCGGTTTCCTCATCTTTGAGTGGGGACAAAACCCAGCATATGCGTTTTGTTCTGAGCCACGCTGGTGCCGTAAAGCCCTCAGCAGGCGGGCTCCTGAAAGCCACTACGGCCGCGGCTAACTACAAGCCGTGCGGTCTCCTCCCCGTTTTGCCTGTTTTTCCCCTGAAGTGGAACACGAACACCTGACCCTTGCAAACGTTTAGGGCCGTACCGAAACGCAGAAACAAAAACACCCTTCCTACCCGCTCTGCCTCCGTTCTTTCCTTCTGGATTGACCTGCGCACAGGCTGGTCACTTCCACCCGCGCCGGCCCCACCCACTCTCCCCCGCCGGCCCCGCCCCTCCCTGCGGCCCCGCCCACTTCCCCCGAGGTCCCGCCCACTCTTCCCCGCCTGCTCCGCCCCCCCACCCGGGGCCAGCCTCCCCTCCTTTCCAGCCCCGGCCCTGCTCCCGGCAGTCCCCTCGCCCCGACGGGCCCTGCAGCCCCAGGGCCTTCTGCGCCCTGGCTCTGCGCTCCCGCAGGTGTAAGCCAGGTGCGGGCTCTCAGGCAGGTGTGCGCTCTGACTCCAGTCTCCACCCGACTGCGCTGAGAGTGCCATGCGGCCCCAGAGGACCGCGCCACATGGGCTCCTCCCGCCTTTCTCTCTCTCCCTCGTCTTTCTGCATCCGGGGCTCCTGGCCGCGGCCCACAGCAGTGACCCCGGTGGCCTTTCTCGGTCCTCCTCACCGGAAGCACTTCTCTCGGCCCGTACTCGGGTCTGCCGCAGGTTCTGGCAGATTCCCTAAACTCATTCAGGAAATTCCTTTCTTCCACCTTTACTAAGATTCTTCTGAATTAGAAATGAGTGACGGATTATCAGACACCTTTCCACATCCATCAATGAGACCATTACCATTTCCTCCTTTATTATGAATGACTACAGTAAAACCCACATTTCCTGGGAAACGGCTTTTATGGAATGATGACCCACCAAGTCATCATACAACCTGTCCGTGCACTTTTTATCGTGTATGGTCGCATTTCTGTTTGAGACTGGCATTGTCTGTATTTCCTAGTTTTACACCCCCGTTTGTCTGCTCTGGAATAACCAGCAGAGGTGCGGCCAGGGCCTCGCAGGGCATCCTCCTGACACTGCCCCCCACCTCAACTTGTCTTGTTTCCTCATTTTTTGAGAAATGCATGTTTTCCACCGGCTCCTCACCCCGTGCCCTGTTTCCGGGCAGCTGAAAACCCCTGCCGGAGGTTTCCACTTCCCAAAGCGCCCTCCCACCTATCGCCTCCACTGATCTCAGGGAGACTGGTCCCTGCCTGCCCCGGCCCTCACACACAGCGAGGGTGCTGTACCTCCACTGCAGTCCTCACTGCAGAGCTGGCTCCTGAGTCTGGTGGCCCATGAAGCAGGTTTGGTCGCACAAGTCTTCTAGATTTTTCTGGTGTCTGGGTTGGAATCCAGCTGATAATCAAGCCTCGAGCCAAAGCATTGCAGAGCATCGCGAGCATCACGGGGTCTCTGGAAAACAAGGCACCAGCGAGTGAAGCGCAGCCTGACGGCAGCCTAACTGCAGCCGCATGAAGCCACGGGCCCAGAGTCCAGCAGAAGCCGGTGAGTCCTCAGAAGTCCACCACAAGTGTGTTTACGGGGTCCCCATCTGCTGGACTGACACAGAAGGGTGGCTGCCCATCGTCCCTGTGCCAGTTCAAGAAGCGAATCAGCCTTTCGAGGGAGGAAGGGAGCCGGCTGTGACAGGATGAGGGCTTGGTCCCCTGCCACAGGTGGCCTCCACACTGAGAGGTCAACACCTGTGCCATGTGGGCTAGACTCCTCAGGGAGTCCTGTGGGGCCCGGACGGGGTGTCCAGCAGGCCTTTGGTCGTGGTCTAAGCATTTCCATCAATTACCAGATCTGATGGGCTTACAACAGAACCTTCATGTTTCTCACCAGAAACGTCATGGTACTAAAACATTTAAAATAGTCAAAAATGGTCTCCGTATGCCAAGAATTGGGGATAAACGTCTGATCTTTGTCCACAACAGAACCATGCAGGATGACTGCGTGACTGGGAGGGGCTCAGCTTCCGATGGCTGGTTTCTCGGAGCCCTGTCAGGGTGCTGACTTCCTCTCCCCCTGGCCATGGGGACCCTGCCCAGGGCCTCACACTTGGAGGAGAGGTGAGGACCACTGAGCAATTCCTTACTTCATGGCCCATTTTCTTTATTATCCGTAACTTTAAAAAGTTACCACATGCCTATGTTGCTGCATTCTAGCATTTCTACTTCAGTATCTGATGGAAAAATTTTAAATCTTATTGTTTGGATGAAAAGCCAAACCAACAAAAAACACACAAAGAGAGTCTTAAAATTTCATCCTAGTTAGATGAAACTTTGACCTGACTTGATGTTTTCGGATGTCTGATTTTAGCTGGTGGACACAGTCCCTCAGGAGTTCACACCCATGTGGATAAAGAACACACAGACACAGATCCTCACCCCTGCCCCAACCAGAGTGAGGTCTGTATGGAGGAGATCCCTTTCCTTTCCTTCCCTTCCATTTTCCCGAGACACTCGTGTCTCAGCAAACCTTCCTTGCAATTGTTCTGTTCAGAACAGAGTGAGGCAGGCTGGGAATCGGCACTGTGGCGATGCCTCGGGGCCACGTGTGGCTGTGAGAGCTCTGCTGTGGGTCAGGGCCTCACCAGCATCTCATTGACCCCCACATGCCACCCTGCAGCTCAGAGAGGCTGAGTAACTGGCTCAGGGGTGCACAACCAGGAAACAGAGACCCTGGGATGACTCAGGCAGCCCTCCCTGTGTCCCCTGCAGGCTTTTCCATGGCCCGTCACTGCCAGGTGCCAGGCGCCAGTGGCCCCAACTCTCACTGGAAGGATGACACTAAAGATGGGGGCAGGGGGCTGGTGGCACCACCTCCCAGAGTGAATACATGTCTGACCCCACAGCTCCTGGGCCTGGATCCGAGGGTCACGAGTGCACACAGCACCCGCCAGCCACACCCACCCGCTGTGGCCTGTGGCCTTGACGATGCTCAGGAGGTGACACAAGGTATCCACAAGCTCTTTCTGCCGCCCGGCCACGAGGAGATGGTGGTTGTGATTCAGGACGTAGACCACGGCGTTCTGCACGATCCAGGCCTCCTGTATCTCCTGTCCGATCTCAGCAGACCGCAGCCAGTTGCTCATGGCGTAGTGCGACAGACCCTCTATCCAGTTCCTGCAGAACACACACCATCAGGCTCTCCTTTGAAACAAGACTTTCCCCAAACGTGCATTAAAGACGTAAGTGTGGACTCTGCCATCGGCCCCGCCCCTGTCTATGGAGCCCGGAGGTTAGAAAGGGGCAGCCCGACGTGTTCCCTCCCGAGGACCCTGGACCTGCCCAGCTCTTCCCATCTCCCAGCTGGACGCCCCTTGCTCACCTCTGCAAGCTCCCACACGTGCAATAAGACCCTCTCATCCTGTCCCTTGCCTGCAGACCTCCCCGGACCCTCCCCGTTTGAGGACCAACCCCTGGCCCGAGGCCTGCCCGGCTGCCTGTCCAGCTTTGCAGCTGCCCCTCACACCTGCCCCTGTGCCGAGTCTCGCTGGCCTCCACCCATTGCACACAGGCCGCCTCCTCAGGGCGAGCCCTTCCCACGTAGTGCTGTGTGCACGTGGCGTCTGCACCAGGGCTCCACATCCTTTTCGGTAAAGGGCCAGAAATTCCTGGCTTTGCCAGCCACATGTCGTCTCTGCTGCATATTTTTCACGATTTTATTTTGCAACTTGTTTAAATGTCCAAACCACTCTTAGCTCGTGGGCCGTACAAAACCAGGCTGTGGGTCAGATGTGGCCTGGGCCCTGGTTCGCTGATCCTCCTCCAACTGTAAGCAGGGCCACCAGGTAAGGACAGCTCTGCTCCAGCCTTGGGCCTGGGCCCTAGACAGACCTGGCCTCCCCTTGCCTTGTGGCAGCAGGCTCCGAGGACAGGGCCCCGGGCTGTGCTCTGCACAACACTCTGAAGGCGACTAAGGCAGAGACGGCCTTAAAACACCAAGACGAACATCACCCACACAACCCTCGTGCACACTCTCCTTTCTCCACACAACACTAGTGCACACTCTCCTTCCTTGTGCCTCTTGAGGGCTCAGTGGTCTCCCCATGCCGCACGTGGTCTCCCCACGCCCCACGCGGTCTCCCCACACCGCACGAGGTCTCCCCACACCGCACACGGGTGCAGAGGAAGAGGGGCCAGGGCTCCACCTCCACTCCCGCACGGGAGCACAGGGTGCGGGCAGCCTGTTTACTGGGTAAAACCAAGAGTAAAATAGGCTTCTCTTCTCCCCCAGTTAACAGTGATCAGCTCCTATGACGTGAAAACACAAATATTCACTCACTACCACATTCACTTTTAAAAATACTTAATTTTAGATTAAAAAACACTAAAAATCATCATTGTTAATACAGCACCTCAATTTCACAACTGTTTTTGCACTTGGCATCTCTTGTGGGCAAGTCTTCTGGAATGTTCCATATGAACTTTCTCATTCGCATACTGGGAGTGATTTGTGCCCCAGACATCCCGTGACGGTGCTCCCATACTGAGAGCTGACCACAGCCTCCCCTCCGAGCAGACAGAAAGAGCGCTGCTGGTCTATATTTTCCACCTTTCACATGATCTCCCTGACATCGCAACTTTACTGATAACGAGAAGGACTAACCACAAAGGACACAAGTCTGAACTACAAAGCACTGGACAAACCGGTCTCGTCACTCTTCTCACACGTGACACCACACCACACTCCTGGTCTGGACACAGCCACTCGTGACCTGTGCCCTGCTTCCCAGGCCATGAAGCCTGCCCTCTCCGTGGACAAGCAGTGCCGCAGGTGCAGAGGACACCTGGCCCCGTCAGTCCACGTGGCAGCCACCTACCGGTACATGATCCACTCTGCGTTGTCCTCTGCAGACTCGAGCGTGTAGCCGGCTGGGTGCTGGCTCAAGTCCTCAGGGGGCCTGGGACAGTCATTTAGCTCTACACCTTCTGACCGCAGCAAGTGGACAGTGGCCTGTGAAGGAATTGCGGTGGGAGAGGTCACGGGAGCAAGGACCAGCACCAGGCGGGAACATGCAGACAGGCGCAGGTGGGGAGACACTGTGACCAACCCCATGGCCTTCACGACCTTGCGTGTCTTCCCTGTGGGCAACACTCGCTCCCTCCCCACACATCCGTCACTTCACCTGTGAATCCTGCATCTCAGAAATGAAGGGCTCCTTTCAAGAGCACAACCTGAGCCATCACCATACCTCGGACACATTAGCAAGTGCCCAGCCAGCGTCCCTGTCCCCCGATGGCTTCACGAGTGGGTATAGAAACACTCAAGACTGCTGAGACCCCTGGGCACAGGCTGATGGGGCTGCGGAGAGGTAGCTGGACGGCCTTGCCACCTGTTTCCCTGGTCGTCGCTGTCAGATCCCTGAGTGCACACTCTCCTCCAGTCCTCACCGTGTCCCCGGGTCATGGCCCGACCTGCACTTGGAGGTCTCAGCAGACCCTTACTGAGCAAACCAGGGAGTGCTCTGGCCAGGTCACCTGCCCACTCCCAAAAGAAACAAGCTAAAGTTGCTCGAAGAAATCTGAAGTTACAAAATGTCACCAAATGTCCCCCCGGCATCGAGGCACAGGTGCCATGGCTGAGAGCTCAGACCTGGGTCCCAGTGCTGGCCCGGATCCAGCTCTGCTGCCTGCGAGTCCTGGGGTCCTGTGCTCACTGTGGGGACTGGGCTCACAGTGGAGGCAGCAGGGAGTCCAGGTAAGGCCTGGCGGCTGGTCCCCGAAGCAGGCAGCCCGCCTCGGACGGGATTAGATCCAACACACACTTTCCCTCCATCACCCCTTGTTCACAGTGCTCCTGACGTCCACTCTGATGCAAACACCCTCCCAGATGCAGGCAGTCAACCCCTAGTACCGATGTGACTCTGAGTTCACAATTCAGAAACTATTTCTAAAGAAAAATTTATATCAACACACACCACATTTTGATTTATCAGTTTCTCCTAGAAAATACCCAAGAACCCAGGGAAATCTCCATAATCTGCAGTCTTATTTGAGGAGCAGAGGTGGAGCGCTGGGAAAAACGTCTTCAGGGGTCAGCATGCCCCATCAGTGCAGACGCGGCGACCTCAGAGGATGAGAAGATACTCGTGGGGGTCCTTGCGCCCACGTGCCAATGCTGCAAACGCACACCCCGTGATGCTGCCATGCAGGGACGCACCTCAGCATTGATGAACCCCACCTCGGCGAACTTCCGCAACAGGCTGGGGGACACCTGCCTCTGCAGGGTGGCGTCTGACTGGCCCCAGGCGTCCTGCACGGAGCTTGCTCCGCCCTTCTTCTTCTTTCCTGAGGGAAACAGCAGAGTCTCAGATGTGGTCAGATGTGGCGAATCTTTTCCAGCAACTCAACAAAAAAGCAAGGATTCCTGGCCTCTCCTCAGCTCCGCGGGGTGGGCAGGGGTCTCTGGGCGGTGGGCATTTTTCCCAGGAAGGGGCTGGAGGAGACCTCCCCAAGTGTGCAGGGCCCCCTGTGAGGTGGCTAAGGTGTCCCCAAAGCCAGCTTGGCCACAGCCAGTCTCCAGCTGACACCCCCAAACCCACGGTTCTTGGTTTTGGTTGTGTGGTTCTGGTGCTCGAGAAGCACCCGGCCCCGCCAAGCCGGCAACACCCACGGTCCAGGCCTTCTCGGAACCCTGGCAGTTCCCTGTGTCCTAACAGTCCACTAGACCAGAGCTCCTCCAGGGACCTGCACACTGGACTGGTCAGTCCGCAGACCCAGTGACGACAGTGGGGAGCCTGCTCCCCGCCCACATCCCCGAGAAACAAGCCTGTTCGGGAGGCTGCTCCATACTCGGCCCCCATACACGCCATCAGCCTCTGCCCTCTGGGCTCTGCCTGCAGGCTCCCACCACGCGGCCGTGGTTCTCTCGCTCACGGCAGGTCCTTTCCCCTTTCTGAGCCCCCTGATGACCCCAGAGTGATGGTTAAGATCAAACGGGATGATGGCATGTGAAGTCAGCCTGGCACAGCGCCAGACGCACACAGGAGGCCCCATAATCAGTAATGATAATAATAATTATTAGTATAATAATAATATAATAAAGTAGTATAGTAATAATAATAATTAGTAGTGATCGTTGTTCATCATGAACTGTGCTGGGCAGTCAGCTGCATATATTTAAAATACCCTCTCCATTTGAAGGCCCCACTGGATTCAAGTCCTGGCACAGCAACCCTTTCCGTCACTTCAAGAGCAAATCCTGGCCTCTTCCAGGAGGCAGTGGACGGCACGGCCGCAGCCTGTCGGGACTTGGCCAGCCCCTGCACGGTGACTGCCAGAGGTGCTTAGCCACTGCGGCCAGGGCAGCCACGGGCCTTTCTGGCCCCAGGGCTTCAGCGAGCATGTGAAGCCTGGAGATGGTCCTGACTGGCTGGCGACTCACTGCGCACGCACGGCCGGGAAGCACACACCTCTCTTCCACCTCGCAGGCTTCTTCACCTTGACATTGTCGTACAGGAGACAGAAGCGGCTTGCTGCCCGGCACACGTCCCACACACCTTGCTTCCGGGCAACTTTGGCAAGCTCTGCCCAAATCTGAATTCTGCTCACCAAAGATGGAAAGGAGGGAACAAGTGCACAGAGGTGTGACTGGTAAAAGCAGAAATCACATCGAACTGTTGCTTGTGAGCAAGAGTCACCGGCGGTGCTGCAGTTTCAAGGTTGCAAAGAGCGACCTTGAGACAAATCAATGCTCACAGCTGGGGCCTCGAGGCAGCAGGACGGGCCTGATGGGGTGGGGCTGCCCCCCGAGATCAGGGGGGAGAGCGCAGGGGGCAGAAGTCTGGCTGCCACTGGCCAAGTGTCACTGTACCAGCTGACCTCCCTCCCCTGGGGCAGGTGGCCCTGGGTGGAGACCCCTGCAGTGTGCTCCAGAAGCCAGCCACTCCCGCCACTGCGTCCTGAGAACCACACGCAGCGCCCAGCGCTGGGCGTCCTCCTGGAGTCAGGACAGTCTCAGCAGAGTGACAAGAACACCCTCAGGGCTGTGGTTTGCTGTCTCACAGGCGACGGGGAGGTCCATCTGCGAGGCCATTGGGGAGCCCGCGCCTCCCCCTCCCGCCGCCCGGCCGTGACGAACGCTCTCGGTGACAGCCCCGCCCGGCCAGCTCGGCCAGCTCGCGTCCTTCTTCCTCTCCTCACTCACCGCTCCTTGTCATTCTCATTCCCCAGACGCCGGAGGTGCCCGGTGGCCTTGTCCACGCTGATGATGTGGTGCCGCGCCTTCGCGCAGAGGTAGGTGAACCGGCCCCTGTTCTTCCCGGTGGAAACTGAGGACGGAAAATGCAATGCAAGCGCCACATGGTAAGGGATCACGCGACTCAGAGGAACCCAGCTCTGTTCAAGGGAATATTTGTATCATCTGTCCTCAGCTGCCGCGGCCGTCGCAGCAGCCCTGGGGCCCTGGACTCCAGGCAGAGCCGAGAGCGGCTCCTGGGGCATCTGTGGTCTTCTGATGGAAGCAGGTGGAGCTTCCTGCGAGTGCGGGAAGCCCCCAGGCACCAGAGCAGCGTGTTTCAGGGTGGGACTCATCACCCTGCCCCCTCTTCCACCCACCCAGGCCCCATGGCCTGGTAGCTACTCATGGGAGTAGCACCCATGAAGGGGCTACTCCCTTCATGCGGTCCCTGCCCACCACCTGCTGTCCTTGCCCGAGGTCGGCAGTTCTCTCTGCTTGGTGTTGGAGGCTCCTCCTCCCGGCGGATCTGGCGCTTACTCTGAGAGCTCAACCCCACCCACGCCCGGCCGCCCGGCACAGCTGCATGGTGTGGGACACAGGACACGCACTGCCCGGGCCACCACCCATCCTCCCAGCGAAACAGGCATTCGCCTTCAGGCGCGGCTCACGGAGCCCGCGGACACCAGGCAGGCCAGCAGGCCAGCAATGCGCGTCACCGTGAAACGCACCAAGAGCACCAGGCGTGTGTGAGCGCCGACAGAGCCCCGTGCTCCTCAGATTGCGGGGATGAGATGAAACAGGGAGGCATGATGCCCGCCCCAGATGAGAATGACTCAGGGGAATGACCAGCGTGAGGCCACAGAGAGGGCGGCTGCCCCCAGGGCGAGGGGCACGCCCCACCACGTCCTCCTCCCCACCGCTGGGGCAGGACTTCACCCGTCCTTCTCCCTCATCTCGGATCCGCAGCACGGGACCCTGCGGCTCCTCTGTGTGTGACAGCTGGGGTCACGTCTGCGGGCGGGACCCCCAGAGGATGGGCGGGGGTGGGGCCCCCAGCCAGGTGCAGACCTGTGTCCACAAGGGTGAGATAGGCTTGTGGGTAGTGCAGCCTTCCATTCATTTACCGAAAATTAGTTTACAGTCCCCCTTGGGATAAAAGCCAACGTTTGGTGTGAGTGGAGACAGAGAAGAGGTCCGCTCACGCTGACTCTCATCTACAGACACGACAGAGCAGCCCCGGACCTCGTCCTCGTGCCTCAGACGGTGGTTTGGGCAGAAGTGTGACCCCCAAAAAAGACGTGATGAAGCCCCAACCCCCAGAACCTCAGAATGTGACCTCATTTGGAGATAGGGTCTTTAGAGGGATAATCCAGTTAAAATGAGGTCATTGGGGTGGGGTGGACCCTAATCCATTATGACCAGTGACATTAAAAAAAAGGGAATCTGGACACAGAGAAACAGGTACAGAGGGAAGACGGTGTGAAGACATAGGGAGAAGACGGCCGTCTGCAAGCCCAGGAGTGCGGCCTGGGACAATCCTTCCCTCCCGGCCCCCAGGAGAAAGCAGCCTGCCGACACCTTGATCCCGGAGTTCCAGCCCCCAGAACCGTGAGAGGATGAATCCTATTGTGAAGGCTGCCCCACTGTCCGGAGCACTTGTCATGGCAGCCCGAGCTGACCGATACAGAGAGCGGGAGAGGAGACCCCTCCTGGCACCTCCAGAGACCACAGGCCACACATCGAGGCCCAGGCCGGCGGGTTCGGACCTTCAGGGGGGCACAGCGTGGCCCACACCTGTCGGTCCAGGTCTGCCTCGGGACCGCATGCGGCCAGGGCGGCTCCTGAGCAGGAGCACAGGCTCCAGGAGGGACCAGCGCACCTCTGGCCTCGTTCTCACTGTCGAGCACAATCCGGAAGGTGTCGGGGGCGAGGGCCAGGCCCGCGTTCACCAGCAGAGCCCGCTTCTCCCTGACACTGTCTTTTGGGATAGCTTTCTTTGCCTGCAAAAGAAAGAGAAGGTGTGATGAGTGGCACTGTCTCTGGTCTTTTCTGAGTGCTTGTGGCCTCTAAAGAGGACCACATGGGTCCTGCCGGGGGGCCCCGCCCGGGACAGGCCTGCCCTTGGCAGGCACTGAGCCGGCAGGGCCCTGGGTCCTGGGGGCGAGCCCCGAGCAGGCCGTGCCAGCACCTGCTCGATGGCCATGGTGGCCTTATCCTCGGGGCGCGTGGGGGACTGGTACAGCATGGTACACAGGCGCAGCCGGTTGACGGCCCTCCAGAGCTTGTCCTGGTAGAGGCCCAGGCTGTCCAGGCGCATGGCCTTCTGCAGGTGCTCCATGGCGGGCTCCAGCCGGTCCTCATCCTCCTCGATGCACGCCATCTCCATGTGCGCCTGGCAGCGGAGCAGGACCATGAGGCTGGGGAGGGACAGCACAGCGTCACAAGGGCCCGGGGCGTGCTAGCTTCCTGGGAGACCCTCAGTGGGCCTCCTGGCTCCTGGCTTTCCTGCTTCCTTCAGGTCCCGCCCTGCCTGACCTTATGGCCTCACACAGGGGCACAAGGAGAGCAGGTCCCTGCAGACCACAGGAGACCTCAGACCCAGCTGGTGAGAGCCCCTCTCCACCCCCTGCCGGAGGTATAGCTGAGCGTCGGTCGGTGCCGTCTCATCCATCACTCCTGGACGGCTCTTGGCATTGCCAATGAGGGGCTTCAGTGCAAGTCCCTCACTCCCCACTGTCCACACCTGAAGCCCTGTCTTTGCCTCGGAGGACGGGGCCTCTCTGCTCTGCTCTGGTGTCTCATTCTGGTCTCATCGGCTGAGGCTCTTCCCCGACGCACACATCCGCTCAGAACAGCACCACTCCCTCGGCCCCCGGTCCCTGCCTGGCGTTTGCCTCTGCTGGAACCTCACGGGGCTGGGTGGGGGCTGGAGTCGCCGTGTCTAAGCAAGTACATCAAGTGTCCCCTGAAACGTCTCCAGCATTCCATGCAGAGACCACCACGTCACGGTCACTGCCTGGGACACAGCGTTAGCAGATCCCACAAACACGTGGAGTAAGAGTCCACAGGACCCCCGCACCGACTCTCAGCCCAGATGGGGCGTGAATGCCATATGGTGTGCACGTAACCTTGGGACGAGGAGCAGAGAGCCCCGGTGCCAGGAGGTGCAGTGCTGCTGTCAGGGGAGCCGGGCATCGTGGGCGGGAGAGGGCCACTCATGCCCACCGAGGGGTCCTGGTTAAAGCCACAGGTGAGGTCTGTGCTCCCCATCAGGGAGCCAGGTTCCACAGACTCTGCCTAGAAGTCCAGACTGCAGCCAGAAACAGCTCACTGCCCTCTGGCCTGAGGCAGGGAAAGAAGCAGTAGACAAAATGGGGGCGGATCCAGCACTGAATCACGCTCCCCTGGGCAGCGTGAGCCCTGAACCCCGTAACGTGAGACTTGTCCAGGGCTGGATGATCCAAGGAGCTGGCCAAACCAGGCCGACGCTACACACACAACAGAGAGGTCCACACAGCAGGACAGCCCGTATCAGGGAGAACCCGGCAGAGAGGTCCACACGGCAGGACAGCCCGTATCAGGGAGAACCCGGCAGAG